GGGGGTGCAGGGCCCTGAGTCCCCCCATACTCCGTGACAGGCCACAGCTGGAGATGGGACATTGGATGGGGTGGACCAGGGCTCTGAGATGGTTCAGAGAACCCTCCGTCTAGATGCCTGGCTGGTCAGTCTGGAGCACATGCTCTGGGTCACCAGATTTGTGTTGGGGAAGGAACCTCCCCCAGGTCAGATTGGCAAGGATCTGGGGCGAGTTTCCACCTTCCTCTGAGGCATGGGGTGTGGGACACCTGCTGGAATCACCTGGGCTCGTGTCACCCAATAAATTCCTGGCATTGCTGGGTCCTTGGGCATCAGCAGCACCTCAATCTCTCCAGTGGTCACAACAGTTTAGCCTCCCAAGGACTGAAACGCTTTGGTCTAACCCATGCTGGGCTCAGTACAGGGGTACCTGGGTGAAGATCCATGGCTTGTGCTCCACGGGAAGTCAGACTAGCTAACCTAACAGTCCCTTCTGGCCTTAAACTCAGGGAAATTCTATGCATCATTAGCCCACTTCCTTCTGGCTGCAGTCCCCATCTTGGCCACCGGGTGGCAGCATTGGAGAGTTGAATGGCGGCAGTCAGAAATTCCCCTGTTAAAGGGGAGGCACACAGCCGGGCTGACCTCGTTACGCCGGTTCTGGCCGATGAATTGCTGCGCCACGTCGGCCGGGAGCACATTCTCCAGCAGGACACGGTTCAGGTTCTCCATGGTCTCGATCTCCTCGCGCTCCTTCTTGAACTTCTTCTTCCACAAGAAGTCAAGGCGGCAATAATACTCGTTCTTCGAGAGAGACATAGAGGGGCCCAGCCCATCAGGACCCCCCAGTAATGGAGAGGGGCAGTTCTCACCCTAGTGGGCCCTGCACTTCCCAGCATCCAGTAGGAGTGACTGGGATGGGACCCAGGCATCCAGGATAGCATGCAACTCCCAGCACCTGGGGGGAGAGCCTGGGACAAGGAATGGGACCCGGGACCCAGGCCCCTGGGATGGAAGTGCAGGGCACTCACCTGTAGGGGCACTGCAGCTCCCAGCACCCAGGGAGAGAGTGGGACCCAGGTGTCCGGGACAGCAGCACAGGACACTTTCTTCTAGGGGGCTTGCACCACAACAGACTGGAATGGGATATTGAACCCAGGTGTCCTGGATAGCAGTACAAGGTGCTCACCCCCAGGGACACCGCAGCAGGACAGACTGGGATGGAGAAGGGAACCCAAGGAAAGTCCCCAGTGGGCCCTGCAGCTCTCAGCCCCACAGGGGGAGGAACTAGGAGGGGGAATAGGACCCAGGTGTCTGGGATGGCAGTGCCACACCCCTAGGGGGCCCTGTGACTCACTTGTCTAGCCAGGGCCAGCAGGGTGAAGAAGAAGACAAAGAAGGAAACGGCTCCCATCAGCTTGGGTTCCTTCAGGACCCCCGGCCTGCGGACAGAAGGAGAGAGACCAGGTAGCAGAGAGAGGGTTGCCAACTTTCCAATTGTTGACAACCAGTACCCCATGCCCCGCCCCATGCCCCGCCTCTTCCCTCGAGGCCCTGACCCTCCTCCATGTGTTTCCTCGACACCCCGCCCATGCCCCTGCAAGCTTTTTCCCTCGAGGCCCTGCACACTTCTCTGTCTCTTCCCCCAAGGCCCTGCCCCCTGCTCGCTCCCCTCTCCCCTCCACTTCCTCCTAACTGGATCATCTCCACTGCCTCCCCTCCCTGGGCTCCCTCTGCTCCAGAGCTGCAGTCTGACGTGGAGCCTGCCTGCTCACAAGACACAGGAGGTGGCCCTGGCTGAGCAGGGGCTGGCACGGATTGATGACCTGGCACCTCCCCTCCCTGCCGCCCGCCAGGGCTAACCGGACTTGTAGTGTCCAGTCAGTACATCTTTCCGGTAGAAAACTGGGCATCTGGTAACCCTAAGCGGAGAGCAGAGCTGGGCCCAGCTCGGACCTGCTAAGCAAGACTGCGCTGTGTTTGAGTCGGAGACTTCTGGGTTCTGCTGGGACAGGAGCTAAGCAGGGGGCGCTCTACCCTGGCAGTCAGTGCTGTCCCTAGGGGGCGCTGCAGGGGCACCTCCCCAGCGGTTACCTGAGCACGGTCTGGTTGGGGTAGAGGCGCCCGACGTAGCAGTCGGAGAGCCAGGCGTGGCTGCGGAGGAAGAGGACATTGTAGATCACCAGGCAAAGCGTCAGCATCAGGAACTTGAGTTCAAAATTCATGTGGAGGAAGAGTGAGCAGGAGAGGAGTCCCAAGATGCAACAGTAAACGTAGTACTGGGGAGGCAAGGAGGAGGGGCATGTGGGGAAGGGGCGGGGCATAGGGGAAGGGGGCAGGGCAAGGGAGAAAGGGGGCGGTGAGTTAAAGACCTTCCCAAGTCCACCTTCAACACCAACAGCATCCTACTGGTGCGTGAAGCTTACCGGAATGCTGAATAAGGAATCGGTCGAGGGAGATTCTCGTGTGGCATTCACTGGCACCGTGGGATTATGGGATGGTGGAGGACACCAGGGCGTGGGTATGAAGAACTGCTCAAAGAGGAGGATGGTAATTGTAAGCAGCAAGAGGGATACAGCTGGGGATAGAACGCAGGAGTCCTGGCTCCCAGCCTCCCCAGTCTAACCACTAAACCAGAGGTGGGCAAACTATGGCCCACGGGCCACATCTAGCCCCTGGGACCCTCCTGCCCGGCCCCTGAGCTCCTGCCCTGGGAGGCTACCCCCAGCCCCTCCCCTGCTGTTCCCCCTCCCCTACAAGCTCTGGGCGGTGGGGCTGTGAGCTCCTGGGGCAGCACAGCTGCAGAGCCCAGCTTGACCCGGTGCTCTGTGCTGCACGGTGCGTGGCTGGCTCCAGCCGGGCGGCGCGGCCGCCTGTCCTGGTGCTCTGGGCGGCGCGGTGGCGTGGCTGGAGCCACTGGTGCTCCAGGCAGTGCGGTAAGGGGGCAGGGAGCAGGGGGGGTTGGATAGAGGGCAGGTGGTGGACAGGGGGCGGGGGTGTGGATAAGGGTCGGGGCAATCAAAGGGTGGGGAACAGGGGCAGAGGTCCCAGGGGGGCAGTCAGGAAGGAGGGGGGG